AAAAAAAAAAAAAAAAAAAGCTGACTAAAACACTCCCTTTAAAACACCTTTCCCTCCAGCTCTGCCCATGTCCAGTCCCAAAGCCACCCCCACATTTGTCACGGTAGCATCCCACTTCCAGGCACCTGACTCTGCACTAGTTGTCTATTTGGTGTCACAAATGCCCCAAACCTACTGCTGGAAGCAGCAATCGTCACATATTCGCTCTTAAGTCCCATGCGTCAGGAGGTGGAGTGGCTTGGCTGGGTGGCTCTGGCCCAATACCTCCAGCTGCAGCCATCTGAGGGCTTGACACAGCTGGAGGATACTCTTCAAGGTGGCTCAGTCACATGGCTGTGGGTGGGAACCAGCTAAGGGTTCAGTTCCTCCTGGGGAGCCTCGTGGTAGGGCTGCCTGACTGTCCTCAGGACATGCCCCCATGGGACAGGGGACGTGCAAATGCATGTAAAACGGCAGTGGAGGTGAGCACAGTGAGGAAGGCGTGCTTTGGCTCATGTGGCTACAAAGAAGAGTTGGCCCATTTGGAGGATCCCCAAGGGCTGCCCTGAGGAGGGGTGCCTGGGCTGAGCTCTGGGCTGAGTTCTCCCAGGCAGACATACAGAGGATGGAAGGGCAGCGCAGGAACAGGGGACCAAGGAAGGAAAGAGCACAGCTCATTCTACAGTCTAAAAGGAAGGCCAGTAAGGCTGGGGACAGAGTAACAAGGAGCCAGGGAAAGGATCAGACCTCAGGCTGGAGAAGCGAGAACCACGCGCTCAGGAGGAAGAGGCGCCAGCCCAGCCCTTTGCATGTGTGTGATAACCGAAGCATCTCAACCCGGCTTCCTATGTTCTCACTTCAACTTTACACTCTGGGACGAGTGCCACCACATGACAGCCAGCACCCTGGAGCTCCCATGGTTAAGCCAATAGGTTCAGGTCACACTGAGACGGCGAGGCCAAGGTCAGACTTACCTCCTCACCACAGAGCCACCCAGGGCCTCCTCCCGGTGAGACAGCAGCCCCTTCCACTTCCACTTCCACTTCCCCTTCCCCTTCCCCTCTGGTGCCTGCGCAGTGGCGCTTCCCCAGCCCTCATGTAAAGAGCTCCCCTCTCCCGCCTCCTGTCTGGGCCCAGGCTGGCCCCAGCACCCTGTCTGCACCCAGCACCCAGGGACCCCCTTTCCATCGGGTGACAGCAGGTAAGGCCAGCTCCTGAGTGTGTCTGCTGGCGTCCTCCACCCCACTCCACAGGAGCTCCCGTTGTTCCCAGGGCTTTCTGGAAACCCAGATTGGGCAATCGTCAAAGCACACGCAAGCAGAATGGCGCTGTTTGCATGGCTTCTGAGGCGGTTATCTCCAAGCGGAGGAAGGCCAGCTCTCCTGCCCTGCCAGGCGCCTCAGCAACTGCTCCCTTGAGCTCCCAGGGAGCCTTCCAAGCAGATAAGAGGCAACAGTAAACAGGATGGAAGGGCAGCCACGGCTTGGCTATCTGCCCTTCACTAGGCCTGTGGGCATCGTGAGCCAGCACAAGAAGAGCCCACTATAATTTCCTTCCTTTAAAAACTACCAGCTTGCTCTTGGCATCGCCCTCCCTGCTCCTCTCAGCCAATGGCTGCTGAGAGGAGACAGCACTGAACCCCAGGTCCCACTTCTGGGAGCACCCGCGGTTCTGACTTCTGATGATCTGATAGGTGAACACAGAGCTTTACCGCTCGGCTGCTTTCATGCGCACTTCCTATTAAAGTCGAGCATCCTGTCCTTGCCTGTGTGTTGATCCCCCTTTTGCCAGTTGCTCTCCTCTCAATGGCTCCAGTCCTTCAGTTTCCCTTTGGAAGCGTGATCTCTCCAGAAGACACATCTGACCAGCTAAAGTGGAGCAGAACTCTCCTCTCCGCTGTTGGGAAGGCTATACTTCTGTTCATGCGACCTCATGATTGGGTACTGACATGAAGAATTTACAGGTGGATGTCCTCAGCTACACTTCCCAGGAAATGGTGGAGCTATGGTCCCCAGCACCCTGTCTATGGGAGTGTCTAATGATGCGTCACAAAAATCTCGTGTTGGTGTGGCTAGTGGGTTAGTGGGGACCATTTTAAGTTGGGGCCTCAGGGACTCTATCCCAATAGTGGGACCAGGACAAGGCAGCAGAAGGAACACAGAGAGCTTCTCAAACTTCAACCCTCACGTGGGCACGGGGGCAGGGCAGCCTCAAAACCCCTCCAGAGAAAGTTCTTACACACTAACACACTATTGGTCAAGGCAAGCTTCAGCAGAGGCAGAGAAGTCTCTGCACTGCGCACGGAGGCCAACAAGACCCACCCAGGCCTGACTTCTAAGCAGAGCCAAGACCAGGCTAGTGAGGCACTCAGGGTGTGAAATTTAAGGAGTCACTCACTCTTGGCAGCTGACTTTGCTCTTGCACCGCCCGAGAGTGAGGGCCTCCTTAAACTTTGCACCCAGGCATTTCTGCTTCCGGACTTCAGTCCAGAAGGCAGGAGCTGAGTGGCCCAGAGCAGGAGGGACAGTCCCCTCCATCATGAGAATACAGGGTCACCCTCGCTCCTTAGCGAGGAGGAAGTGCTGACCAACTGGAAGCCACTCTACCCACTTTGTGGCTCTCTGGGGTTGAGAACTTTGTAGCTCTAAGTCCAGTATGCCAGTTCAGTACTTCTCCCTGCTCCCTGGCTGCCTGTGTCAGTCACTAGGAAACGGAAATGGTGTGGCTATTGCCAACAGAAATTGATGCAATACAGGGATTTATTTTTGTTAACCAAACAAACAAACAAACAAACAAAAATTCCATAGGAAGGCCTAGGGCAACGGGGTCTTGCCTGAGCCTCCAAGAATGTCTCTCTGAATACCCACAGAGCTGAGCCACCAGGAGATGCAACAGGAAGGTGCAGAATCAGGAGGCCCATACTCTGTCCCTTAGCTGTGGGCCAGGGATCCAAATCCAGACCTCAGAGTCACAAAGCCATGTTGACTGTTCCACTCCACTCAGACAAGGCCGGAGCAGGGACCCCCACTGAGGCAGGCGTGTCCCCCAGTTCCTGCCCACATAGCCACAGAAAGCCATGAAAAGTGACCTTCACTTCATTTCTATATCCAAATCTCAGCCTGATGGAATCTAATAAGCAGAACTAAGTTCACTGTCAGAGCTCTAGCTGCAAGGCAGTCTGAGAAAGGTCATTTTTTATCTTCCCAAACTTATAGTGTGGGAAGGCTAGAGGGAGGTGAGAATGAGGTTGAGAGCCATCCCTGGTACCCACCTCAGCTCCCAGCTAAAACCCCCCAGGTTGGGGAACTCAACCTAGTTTTGAGGCTAAGGACCTGGCCTGCAGCATGGGCAAACCTCAGGGCCCCGTCTCACAGCACTCTGTGTTCAGCAGGAGTTCACAGATCAGCAGGG